TACACAAGGGCTCGGATAGTTGTCCTCTGGCAGCGCGGGCCTCGGGAAGGCATACAGTGTATCTGGAATCTGTTGAATGTTGCTCTGGTTTTTTTTTTTTTTCTTTCTTTCTGTTATGGGGTCTGTCTGTTTAAGGAAACGTCTCAAGTATTCTTCTCTCCCATTCAGTTTGGCCAAACCAATGATGTGGTTACGCTCATTAACCGGTTGGTGGAAGAGTACAGCACGTCCGGCCGCCTGGATAACATCACGCGAGTCATGAGCCTCCACCCGCAATATCTGGAATCCTTCCTGCGCACGCAGTTCTATATGCTACGTATGGACGGACCCCTGCCTTATCATTACAGACACTACATTGCTATTATGGCAAGTATTATTTCTTTATATTGCATTTTGTACTTTTCTTTGTTATTCATTTTTCATCCTCACGTCTATACACAGTGTGTAGAATGTGATGATTTATGGTACCTTATAACAGCGGTCGCCAACCTTTCGGACCTCACGGACCACTAAATTCATAATTTTAAATCCCGCGGACCACTAACTCTTAAAGGGCCAATTCACACCAATAGCTGCTCTACAAATCATAGTTGCTGGTGTCCATTGCCAGGCGCAGTGTTGATTCACCGATCCCGGCGCATAGCACTGTTGACTTTTTTTTTTGTTAGAACTTTATTGAAAGTTTAACTTTATTGCATGATGCAGAGTAGGACTCTTGCTCTTTGCATCGAAGCAGTGGTCTCTGCAGCGGTTCCAGCACACCCCCTTGTTGATGTCGCTATAACGCAACTGTCAGAAATTCTGATCTCTGCTCTGTTCTCCAATGAATGCAGAGAAAGGGATTTTAGGGCGAGTACAAATATCCTATTATTTTCATAGTGGGTGGAGGGATCTGTTTAGTCTATGCCCTTTATTACTGATATATTTGTATGTAAAGCTATAAAACCGTAACCATCAAGCCCGTGGTTTTTTTCCCCCGCTGTAGGCTGCGGCACGACATCAGTGTGTGTACTTGATAAATATGCACGTGGATGAGTTCTTAACCACAGGAGGATCATCAGAATGGCTGAACGGCTTAGAGTATGTGCCACAAAGGCTGAAAAACCTTAACGAAATCAACAAGCTTCTTGCACATAGGCCATGGTTAATCACAAAAGAGCACATACAGGTATGTGAACACGCCAGGGGCTCGGGCCTTCACCTCTACTTCAGTCTGCATTGGGCAGGAGTGTGTGAAGTGTAACGCACAGAAGTTCATTCAAACTGAGCTGCAGGCAGATATTCATAATACAAATGTATTTGGCTATCTAGTCATTAATAAACCAGTAAAAGTACTTTTTTTGTAACTGAATGTAACTCAGTATCAGCCTCTTGCTATCCGCTGTACAGCAGAGATCAGACTGGGAGGAAGAGAGAAAGGACTGGGAGCCAATAAGGTGTTCTGACGAGCATGATAGGAGGGGAGTGTAGAATGTGCAAACCTCCTAACCGTCTAGCCACCAGCTTTGGGGTGGGGGGGATAGACACCAATGTATTCCTTAACTGTAGCAGAGAAAGAGGTGTCCTCCTCTTGGCTGTGCTGTAAGATGGGACTGCGAAAAAGCTCAGGACTGGATGGACACAAATACAATACAAATAGGCAGCTGGAAAGCAGCTGCCTATGTGTTTCATCTGTGTATTTAGCTGTTTGCCCGGAGGTCATCTTCAAGGCTAAATAAGCAATGATGAACATAGCGGCACAATCCACCTGTTCAATTGTCTGTACCGGATCATATGACTAATGCCAAAGCATTGATCATGTGATCTCCTTTAAAGAAGCAGGATTGGTAAAATTACTCTTTTTTTTTTTTTTTTTTTAACTAAGG